AAATAAGAGGATGAAATAGGAAAAACTTTGAAAAATATAATAATGATGATTTTGTTTTATTTATTTATTTATTTATTTAATTTTGAGACAGAGTTTCACTATGTCACCCTGGGTAGAGTGCCATGGTGTCACAGCTCACAGCAACCTCAAGCTCTTAGGCTTAAGTGATTCTCTTGCCTCAGCCTCCCAAATAGCTGGGACTACAGGCATCTGCCACAACGCTTGGCTACTTTTTGTTGCAGTTGTCATTGTTGTTTAGCTGCTCGGGCCAAGTTTGAACCTGCCAGCCTTGGTGTATGTGGCTGGTGCCATAACCACTGTGCTACGGGCACTCAGCTAGATGATTTTGTTTTAGATTTAAATTCTAATAAAAAATTCCAGTTAGGTTTATCATTCTTTTTATCTTAATTCTAGAGAAAGTGATTTTGATGAATTATGTGATCGGTTCCTTTTATAAACTAATGGAACCTGATATTGACGTGATGTCACAAAGGCGCTGCTGTGAAAACGTAAAGGGTACTGATTGTAAGCCACATTAGAAAACCCACCTTTGAATTCTATGTATATATGTATTTATTTTTAATACAGAGTCTCACTCCATCACCTGGGCAAGAATGCTGTGGCATGAGATTAGCTCATAGCAACCTCAAACTCCTGGGCTCAAGTGATCCTTCTGCCTCAGACTCCCAAGTAGCTGGGACTACAGGGGCCCACCACAATGCTTGGCTAGTTTTTCTATTTTTAGTAGACAGGGTATCACTCTTGCTCCAGCTGTCTCAAACTCCTGAGCTCAAGGGATCCTCCTGCCTGAGCTTCCCAGAGTGTTAGGATTACAGGTGTGAGCCACCCTTTTTTTTTTGAGACAGTCTTACCCTGTCACTTTGGCTAATGTGCAGTAGTATCACCACAAATCACTGTAACCTCAAACTGCTAGGCTTAAGCAATTCTGCCCATGCTTCCTGAGTAGCTGGGACTATGGGGCACGCAGCTATGCCTGGCTGATTTTTTCTATTTTTTATTGTGCTCTTGCTCATGCTGGTCTCAAACTCCTGGCCTCAAGCAATGTTCTCATTTGAGCCTCCCAGAGTACTAGGATTACAGACATGAGCCACCATACTGGATCCCACCTTTGAATTCTTTTTTTTTTTTTTTTTTTAAGAGACAGAGTCTCACTTTGTTGCCCTTGGCAGAGTGCGGTGACGTCACAGCTCAAAGCAATCTCCAACTCCTGGGCTTGGGCGATTCTTTTGCATCAGCCTCCCGAGTAGCTGGGACCACAACACCCCACTATTTTTTTTTTGTTGTTGTTGCAGTTTGGCCGGGGCTGGGTTTGAACCTACCACCCTTGGTACTTGGGGCCGGCACCCTACCCACTGAGCCACAGGTGCCGCCCCACCTTTGAATTCTTATTCTTTGATTTACTAGCTCTACATGACCTTGGACAAGCTGCTTTTAGCCTTTCTAATGCAAAGTGAGGACACTTCCTACTTAGGTAGAATAAATCAACGAGATAATGTATGTGGAAGAGTTCTATGTAACACAGAACTAAGAATACAAGGAGGAGTTAAGCATTCCAAACAGGCTCTCGGCTTGGCGCCTGTGGCTCAAGTGGCTAAGGTGCCAGCCACATATACCTAAGGTGGCTTCGAATCCAGCCTGGGCCCGCCAAACAACAATGATGGCTGCAACCAAAAAAAAAAAAAAA